TAATAATAATAATAATAATAATAATAATAATAATAATAATAATAATAATAATAATAATATATTGTTCGGCTGAATAAACACATTTATCAAAACGTAAACAATAAATAGCCATGATCTCCATATTTATTATACCTGTGTCTGATCCTTCGTCCACCTCTTGTTTTCCTCTGTGACGTAGCTGTGGTCACGTGGCTATCAGGAAGCTGCGGCGGTGTTTACCTTAGCACTGCGCCAGCGAGCATCCTCAGTTTGCAGTGAAATCAAACCCGATCTGAGGAGATGGGTCCGTCCTGTTCGCCGCCTCTCCGCTGGTACTGAGCTGTCCTGCCGCCTCCGTCAGCGCCATGGCGTCTTCGGGCTACACCTGCGTCCCTGACAGCCCCGCAGGTCGGTCCCGCTTCCCTCTCAGTCTTTATTCATGATCGTTTCTCTGCGTATTGGCTGCAGCCAAAAAATAAAAAAAATAAATAAATCCTTCGGGTTTTTATTCCATCTTTTGTTCGGCAGAGTGCTTTGTTTGTGTTTAGCTTGATGTATACTTGAGAACAGCCTGTACAGGTGGATAACAGCTTAAAGGGACATTCTGTAGATTTAACGCCTTAGAGAAGTGTGGAGCATGGATCTACGTCATAGTCTGTCGCTGTGATCAGGTGTACTTTCAGTGGTTATACAGGGGTTTTTCTTTTACTCTAATATTCCGTTTATGTGTGTGTGCATATTACACATGTATCCGTGGTGTCTGAGAGTGTTCACACCCTTTCACTTTTTCTAAATTTTATGCGGTTGTATGTATTCTGAAGAAAGCAACAGGATATTTTATATTCTGAGTGGAAACATATTTTCATAGAGATATGAAAATATGTGGGCCAGGTTTTTTTTTTAATGGAGGCTAAAAAGAAAAACAAAACAAAGCAAAACAATAAATAAAAACTAGTTTAATATATTAAGTGAGCCAAAGAGCATCTCGGAGCTCCAGAGACGCAGGTTCCAGTTCTACAGAGGCCCTGGTCCCTGTTGGCCCTTGTCTAGAACCGCCCATGTCGCAACCTTCAGTCTACATGGTATGTCTCTACAGACTCTCCACCTTTTTCAGAGTATTTTCTGCCATTCTTCTGAAAGCACGTCTTATCAAGAAACACATTATGGTCTGATAAGACAAAGACTGAGTTATTTTGCCAGATGTTTAGAGGAGTTCAAAGCTAATGCACACTGTAAGAACTTTGAGGCCCGGTGGTGGCAGCGGTATTCTAAGGGTCTGTTTTGCTGACTCAACGTAATACCTTAAAATTCTTCAATTCTTCTTTCGTTTTCCTTAGAAAAACAGAAACTGCTGTCCTCCAAGTCCGGCTATGGATCCCAGGATGTGCTCGGATGTGCCAGTCTGGCGGACTCCCAGTTCCGCGGTCAGCCATGGGATGAAGACGAGGAGGAAGAGGCTCTGAGGAGGAAACTCAAGTACTTCTTCATGAGCCCTTGTGACAAGTACCACGCCAAGGGGCGCAAGCCTTTCAAACTGGGGCTGCAGCTGCTAAAGATCATCATCGTGACCGTGCAGGTAGACGCAGTGGTGAGCAGAAGGGGTGCACCGATGAATCGGCCCCGACTTCCCTAATTTTGGGAGATTGACCATGTGAAACCGATCCCATCTACCTCCACAAATCAATAGTCACCCCACTTTCGCCAATTTGATGCTATATTTAGTGATTTTTCAGACAAAAAAAATTGGTTTTGGTCAAAATGTGCACATCAGGGTTTTTACACATCAGCCAGAAAAATGCAGTCGGTGCACCCCCTCGTCCTCAGGTGGCCCGTTCGGTGACGTCGCTGTGTAATCTCTCTCCAGTCTGTCGTAGCCAACGGTGTCTTCCCTTTGCCTCCTCCTCCCAGTTGGTGCTGTTCGGTCTGAGCAACCAGATGGTCGTGACATTCAAGGAGGAAAACACGGCGGCGTTCAAGCACCTGTTCCTGAAGGGTTACCAGGACAACCGTCCTCAGGCCGTCCACACACAGTCGGAGCTGTACAGCCGCATCGGCTTCGTCGTAGAGCAGGTGGCCCAGACGCTCCCAGGGTGGAAATTTACAGTGCCTTTCAAAAGTGTTGGCACCTCAAACATCAAAGATTTTTACTGAGGTTTTTATCAGATAAACCAACACAAAGCTGTGCTTTCTGCCACTTATCTAAATGTTACATTTTGCAGTTGTGATCTACAAGTGTTTAGATCTAGAGGTTAGAATGTCCAACCTGACAAACTTCTGAGGGCCGTTGGGGTGTGAATACTTTTAAAAACTGAATGCAGATTCGGCGTCAGATTCCTGGTGTTAAATTCTGCTGCACTTTTCTTCTCCACTGACAGTACATGGCTCTACCTCAGATCGCACTGGGCCGGTACGCATATGTGAAGGGCGTGGGCGCGAATGGGAGCGCTCTCTCCCTTTGCCAGAGGTACTTCAAGACGGGCACCATCGACCCCGTCAACGACACGTTTGACATCGACCCCCATGTCGTTACAGGTGGGAGCAGTTTTCTCTTTTTGTAGGCAGCACTATTGAAAATAATAAAAGATAAAAAGGCTCTGTCCAAGCTCAAAAAGATTTCAAAGACCGGTTCAAGGCCAGGCAATTTAGATCCCCAGCTGGTTGCCTGATAACCTATTAGAGTTCATGCAAAGTGCAACATTTCTCATTCATTTTACAGAAATTACAGCACGTATAGCAGGACAAGCTGTGTGGATGCAACAAAACCTCATCCTCCATTCCTGTAGTTTACACCAAGTCAATATTTCCATGGCGCTTGTGGAAATCTTTTCTCTGTGTCACATGACGCTCTGCAGCTCTGCCCTACTTTTACAAGACTTGTGTGCTCTTGGCATAAACGCATGAGCATGGTTGTTTTCCACATATTTGCAGCAAACCAGGTGTCTTCTTGGGAATGGTGCTATTTGCACACATCTGCTGATTCTGCAGTCATTGCCAGACCAAGGTTTGGTTATTAAAATAGCAAGGTGAATGGAAATAAAAGTCCGGCTCCAAGTGGGTGACTGTGCGCTCAAAAGCTTTAGGGAAGTGCAGAAATTTCATGTTGGCTTCATGTGATGTGGAAAAAAAAACCTGACGCCTGTATTGCTTTCAAATGGGACTTCCTCATTCAGTTTTTTCGGTTCTTTCACAGCTATTTTCTGATGTCGTTTTCCAGATTGCATCGGCCTCGATCCGGTCCCCGACAGTCCTGTGACGAGAAACGCCGACTACAAGAATTTCACCCTCCAGTTTTACAAGTTAGATTATGTTTTTTTTTTTTTTCTCTCCCTGCATAACATTATAATTTCCCTCCCAGAGCTCTAATTGTGCACATCTTAGAAAATATCAGTATTTCCGTCCTTATGGATTTATTTACTTTTTTTTTGTCACACTTTGATGTTTCAGATCATCAGACAGACATTTTACATCAAAGATAATCTGAGTAAATACAAAAGGCTGTTTCCAAAGGATGTTTTTATTTATTTTGAAAAAAAACAACATATTAATCCAGATTTTTGACACAGTCACTCCATTTTCTTTCCTTTTTCTTTTCTGATAACTTTGACGATAGAGTTCAGGTTGGTTCGGATCACATTTGTCTCTCAGCACATAACATAACCATTTAAAAACTGCCTTTTTAATTTACCGAAGTTGATTTTGTCTGGTGATAAATGTGATTAAAACAGAAGAGACGTGCTTCTCTGCTCGTTTCCCCTTCAGGCTGATCAACGTCACGGTTGATTTCCAGCTGAAGGCCATCAACATTCAGACAATAATCAATAACGAAATCCCCGACTGCTACACCTTCGCCATCACGGTGAGCTTCGTTTTCCAGTTGTTTCTTTTCAGCTACTTTAACCCTGAAATGATTAATTATGAAACGTTTTCTTGTTTTGTCTTGCTTTATTCATTTTTTTTTTTTTACTTCGGTCTTATGCAGAAGGAAATCTTGCAGAAAAATCTTCAGAAAAGCAGCTGCAGAGAGAAAAAGCTTAGAGCTTGTAAAGCTTCTTAGCAGCTCCCATGTTGCTAAACGCCTGCTGGCTGATGAACTAAACTACACCAGTGCTGATGCTTGACATGTACGGAAGAGGATTAGTGCCACTAAGCTTAGTTTCTTCTCAAAAATCTGAGGAAAAAAAAGTCCAGAATAAGACTTTAATATCAGATTTCAGACTTTAATGCAGATGGACACTTGAAATGAAACAAAACTAACTTGCAAGTAACTTTTCAGTAAGATACTGACTAATTATTTAAGGCAATAATTCCTTAATATTGATTAAAAATTTCTAGTTCCACATTTTTTCCAGTGTTACAAGTAAAATGTTATAAGTGAAAAAGTTACTTGTAAGTTAATTTTGTCTTATTTCAAGTGTGCTAAGATATTTAGACTAGAAACTAGAACAGCAATGGCAACATTTAGTGTTTTTTGTAGTGTGTGTTTACCAGTGTTCCCCTGATAAAGATGTTTAAGCTGAAGCTGAAGTTCCCAAAAGTCTCGGCTGAACAAAGAGAAATGTGACGGGAACATTTGGTCCAGGCAGGAAGAGCTGCGACCCGCTAATGAGCGAAGCGTTTCCTGTTGGACTCACCCGGTTCTCACTGTGCTCTCAGATCGTCTTCGACAACAAAGCTCACAGCGGCAAAATCAAGATCCTCCTCCAGAACCAGGCCTCCATAAAGGAGTGTAAAGACACAAACGTGTCCGGACACGGTGAGTCACGGTGGAAACGTTTTCCAAAGTTTCAATAAAAGGGCTTTAATTCGACTTATTTCTCTCCTCCCCCGGTCAGCGGAGAGCTACGCCAGAGAGTTCTTCGACGTGGTGGTGGCGATCGTCTGCCTGCTGTCGCTGCTGCTCTGCGGCCGCTCCATCCTCAGAGGAATCCTCCTTCAGCACGTAGGAAACAGAAACAACTCTTCTCTACTTTCCTTTATCCTCTCACTCAGCTCCTTCAGACTAGCCAGCAGCAATTAGCAAACACAAGGTGGAACTGCCCTTCAGCTGAGCTCGTTATAGGAGCTACTTCTCAGTGAAACGCCGGTAGAGACGTTGTTAAGCCACGTTGTGATGACTTCCTGAAGGTGGAGTTTCAGAAAGAGCATGAGCTTCTTAAAGAGACAGAAGCCCAATTTCAAGGGATCAAATTACAAAGTTAAACTTCGTTAAAGCCATACCTGATATATGTAGCATTTTCATAACAACTGAAGGTAACACAGAGACTTGATTCTGCTGTAAAATGGCACTGTGTGCAGCAGATAGATGAAGCTTTAGATCACTTGAAAAACGTGTAAATGGAATGTAAATGGAAAGCTGCTGCTGTTGCTGTCGCTTGAAAACAAGCGCAGACAGCTTCTGCTCAACCGTGTCATCAGTATCTGATCGTGTTCCCTCTCCCGAAACAGGAATACGTTCAGTTTTTCAATCACAAACTGGAGCGCACGGTCAGCTGGGGGGACAGGATGGAGTTCATCAACGGCTGGTACATCCTGCTCATCATCAGCGACTTGTTCACCATCGTCGGCAGCTTCATCAAGATCGGGATAGAGTCCAAGGTGGGTTCAGCGTGCCGTCAGCAACGCTCCAGGTTCCTGCATGGTCTGGGAACATGTGGAGTTTGGAAAAATATGATCTTTCTTCCTCTCTTGCCTTCATTATTTCTTACTGTTTCTTCTTTTTTTCCTTTCTTTCTTTATCTCTCTCATTCTCATTCCATTCTAAATCTTTTTTAAATATCTTTCTTTGTAAAACCTTTCTTTTTTAATCTTTCTTTCTGAATCTTTCTAAATATTTTTTTTTCTTGTTTCTGAACCTTTCTTTCTAAATCTCTTTCTAAATCTTTGTAAATATTTTTTTATTAGATCTTTCTGAATCCTTCTTTTTAAAATCCTTCTTTTTTAAAATATTTCTATGTTTCTCTCTCATAAAACGGCTACAAAACTGAGAAATCCTGAATTTTGAGTCTGGATATTGTGAAGGAATCCTGAACGGATCACTTTCCCCCCCTGCGCATGATGTGTAAAAAAAAAAAAAAGAAAAAAGAAAACTCACGTCTTGCTACAGTAGAAATTCGTCCAAACCGAATGACATCTGTACTTATTTCCTGACTAACTGCGACGTGTCACGTTTCAGACTCTGTCGTCGTACGACGTGTGTGGGATCCTGCTGGGAACGTCCACTCTGCTGGTGTGGGTGGGAGTCATCCGCTACTTCAGTTTCTTCCAGAAATACAACGTAATCGCACGTTTTCTTCTACAAGAACAGCACACCGTGTCTTTTCTGTGTGTTGGATGTTTATTAAGTCGCTGTATCTCTTCACACAGATCCTGATTGTGACTCTTAGAGCTGCTTTTCCCAGCGTCATCCGCTTCTGCTGCTGTGTGGCTGTGATTTATTTGGGATACTGCTTCTGTGGATGGATTGTTCTGGGCCCCTACCATGTCAAGGTACACAGCTCACACTCTGCAGTCACTAGTTTATTCTAACAGTATTTTGATGATGAGTATCAATTCGTTATTGCGTAGTGATTCGCTCGGCGTGTGGTTTGATGAGTTTGTTTTTTTTTTTTCTTTTGAAGCAGGCCAGCAGGCAGAAACTCGTCGTTCTTAATATTTCATCCCTAGTGTACGGTATTTATTGTATCGTTAATTGTTTATCGTAAAAAAAATAAAATTCTGGTCATGATAAGATTTTTCGATTTTTATCATTATCACAATAGTTCTACAAAATATAGTGATATAACTCTAAGTCCGTATCGCCCTCGTGTAGTCGTGCCGTTCCGCTTTAGAGTTTCTGTTTCATGCTTCCAGGTTGTAAAACCTACTGAAAGTTGCTGTTTACGGTGGACTGTCGGTGGATTGTGTGTGTGCAGTTTCGCTCCTTGTCCATGGTGTCAGAGTGCCTGTTCTCCCTCATCAACGGCGACGACATGTTTGTGACGTTTGCCGAGATGGAGCAGAGCGGCACGCTGGTGTGGGTCTTCAGCCAAGTCTACCTCTACACCTTCATCTCCCTGTTCATCTACATGGTGCTGTCGCTCTTCATTGCGCTCATCACCGGAGCCTACGACACCATCATGGTACCTACAGCTTTGGTTTGAGCCACACCCACGGCTGCGAACGGAAATGTTGGGGTTTTCTTTCCACCTTCAGCCTCCTTCTCTTCCCCGCAGGCCCAAACGAGGGAGCAGGTTCCGGAGACGGAGCTGCACGCGTTCATCGCTCAGTGCACAGACACGCCCAGTTCCGGCAAGTTCCGCGGGCCGGACGGGTCGTCGTGCTCCTTCCTCTGCTGCTGCGACTAGTGAGGAGGACGACAAAATACATGCACATGCACAAAAAAAAGAGGAGTAAGTGACATCTGCGTCAAAAAGCAAAACACTGTTACATTTTTTTTTTAATCTTCAAAGACCCACATTGCCTCTGCACTGACAGCTGCACTCCTTTCTCCAGACGCTCAGCAGGGATGCTGGAGGCTGGTGGAGCGAACCAGCTGACCTTGGGCCGCTTTTGTCCTTTGGTGCCAGCATTCCAGTTTTGCATTTAAATTCGTTCGGCACGGTCCAATTAACCTGCCTCAGTTTTTGTACTGTATGAACAATCTGCTGCCTTTCACTGAGTCTTTTAGGCCTTAGATTGCCAGACCCGTAGCGCCGGGAAACAAAAATTAATTGCTTAAGATTGGAAATGGGGTTTATCAAGTGGAATCAGGGCAACTCTTTGCTTGGTTCATTAATAAAATCCGGTTTGCTGACTGGTGAGAAAAGAGCAAAGAGAAACACCGTACACAGTGACACAGTGACACACCCTGAGGCATTCTTGTCTGTTACACTTGGTTGCTATTAGTTAGCTAACCAGGCTATATTTTGAGTCAGGCAAATGGTTGTATTTATTTGTTTTTTTAATTAAAAATATAACATTTTACAGCATATCCACTGTGAACAACCTCAATCAGTGAGACATTGAATATCAAAAGTAAACAATTCTAGCATTCAATAACATAACAGCTTTTATTTTAAGCTAATTTGCTCTCAGCATCAACCTTGGTAAACATTAGCTAGCAGTTAGCATGTTAGTAACTTGAATGATTCAATGACTATTTTATTCTCTTTTTTCTTTGTTCATTTGTTACTTTAAAGGGGCAGAGAACATGTTACTGTGTTTAAGTCAGTTTTGGACAGATCTTTGTTTTGGGTGAATGTTTCTGGAAGTTTTATAGATTTTTTTATGTTTCTGAGTAAGAAGACCTGAACCGACTTGTACTTGATTTCGACCCTATTTTAAAAAAATAAATACATTTTAAAAGCTGTAGATTAAACCTACAAAAGGAAAAATCTATTGCAGCACTTTTAAAATTGATCTTTATTACGCTGTAACATATAAAAAAAATTATTTAAGCTAGTTTGCGATCTCATGGCGTTAACCTTTGCTAACATTAGCTAGCATTTTAAAATGTGTTTATTCTGTGAAATTTTTGCATTCAGTCTTATTCTTTTTGCTCATTTTGTTGCACTTTTAGGAAAAAAAATGTTTCCTCTCAACTCAGTTTGTGTCCAAATCTGTATTTTTTCCATGTTGAGATTTAACATAGGCAGTTTTGATTATTCTGTTCGTTGTTTTATAGTTAACTTGACAAAGTGTGATAGCTGGTTATTTCATCTATAAATGAAATGCACTCCTTTGTATGCCTTTAAAAACATTGTTTATGGAAACTTTTGAAAGTGTACTAATCATTCTAGGATTTTTTTACTTATTTTCTGTCATTTGTGGTTTTTATTGCTTTTTGTTTTGCACTTTAATTTAAATACATAAACATTTTTTACAGTTACAAAAGTAATGATTGCAGTTAATTTATTTGCACAGATATAGTATTGTAAAGCTTTACTTAATTTGATAGTGGCACATAGTTATGAACAACAGAGCAAAGCATTGTAAATGTAATGCGTCAGCCAGTCTGTGTTTAGTTATAGGAAGGCGTCCTGATTCTGCTGTGGTTTAATGTTGGCAGCCATTCCTCACTGTGTTTGTTAGCATGTACTTCTGCATTTTTCATTATTACCTCAATTTTAGAAGAGACAATTGCAAAAAGGGAAGCACTTAGCATGGAGCATTTTACACCGTCCAACTCAGTTTTCTGTGCTGATGCTGTCTTAATGATGAGCACACATTTCAGTTAAATAAACCGAAAAAAGGCTGTGGATTGCTGTTATTTGCCTTTTATTTACCGTTTCAATGACAATTCCACATATTTTTGAAAGAGTTGTTATTATAGAGCTTTAACCTCAATGCTAGGCGAGTTTCAGAGCTTAAAAGATGTAGAGGTTGTTCTCATTGGTGGCACCATCATAAGATTAGGCATCAGCTACTTAAAAGGCTAAATACGACACAAATTAGCTGTAGTGTTTATGCTAACAACTATTAGCATCAGGGACACAACTTTGTACTTTCTGAGGTACATGCAGATACATTATAGGCGTGTCACTGCTACAGATCACATTGTTAACACATGCACAAACCTCTGTCATGTACAGAACATTTTGACTATATAAATAATTTTCATGTCATTGTTTTGGCACCTCCCTCTGTGAATAACTGTTAAGTAGCTTACAAGCTAAAAACTCTGTATTTTATCAATCCAAACAATGCACATCTATGTTTTTTGTGGTAAAAAGATTAACAGTCTGGCAGAAGTGCAACAAAATCTTATTCCCGTTTTGATCACTTTAAACTCATGGCGGCCATATTGGATTATGTGGAAACATTACATTTACCACTTAGAATTCAGAAGAATTAAAGAGGCTTTTATTTATTTTTGCAATCGGTAAATGTTTTATGTTCAACGCACAGAACTCATGCTTTTTTCTGAGCTTTTTTTTTTTTTCAGATCATATGTCTGAAAAAAATGAAAATAAACACAAAGCGGAAATAAGAGCTGACAGTTGAAAAAGGATGTTTTGCTGCTTTAGGCTTTAATGCACAACACTTTGGGCACCTAAAACAGAAGTAGAAATAGTCAAGTATCCACCTTTAATATGAATTTATGAGGCAAAGATTTTAAACAGCAAGTGAGGAGGAGGACGTCTGGAGAAATGTTCTCTGAGAGCAGTAGCTAGGAGACGAAGTAAACCCAGTCTGTTTCCCCAGTCTGCCTGTAACACACATCAGTGGCTAATGACTACTTTCAACAAAACTGTAAATGTAACTCAAAACATTAAATTCCGTCAGCATTACACCATTTCTGCTTTAGTTTTGAGCTCATTGTGACAGGGCCTCTTTTTGTATTACTGACAACAGCAAAGGATTAGCCCGAAATTAAAAACCGCGACGTTTTTGCCATTGGTTGAAAGAGTTGCTGCTCTGTGTCAACATCCCTGTTTCAGTCCAAATGAAAGCTCCGGGGAAACAAGTTCAAGGTTAAACAAAAAAGAACATTACTAGACTTATAGTTAAAACCTAACTAGCAACATGCCATCATCCATATTTGGAAGCGCTTCCTGTTTTAGTGGGTCCACCTGATTCAAAAAGCCCTACATTTGAAAAGTCTGCTCTGTCTAAACCCACGAGGTTTTGGGGGACCCAATAGTGTTGTTGCTAGATCTCCTAGCAACAACAATATTCACTTATACCTCAGGCTCCGTCCATCATTTTAACTGTAGTCCAGTTCTTAGTTTTGTATTGTCATGTTCCTTGTACTTTGTTAGTACAGTTAGTCACCACTAGAGGGGGGAAGCGTGCTCTTTCTCCTACAAGCAAACCAAACCCAGGAAATCAAAATGAGAGGCAATAAAGAAATGACAGGAAGCAGCGGGGTGAAAAAAAAACCCAAAGGCACTTTCCAAAGGAGGCCTGGTAAAAGATTAGCCACATTAAAAAATAAATAATGTATCAGAAAAGTGCTTGACCTTCAAATCTACTGTGTAAATGGAAGTACAGGTCAGCTGCTTCAGCAGAAAAAGAAGAAAAACAACGCACCTAGGTATTGTTCAGATGGAACAGACATCAAGGCAGTCACTCCCTAATGTGCTGGAGTGGTATCGCTGACCAATAAGCGCAGAATGTTGATGCATTATTCAGCAGAGGAAGGTACCGGAGCTGATGAAGCGGCACTTACGGCGACAGGTAACGGGCTGGACTGATGACGTCAGCTTTCAAAGCTGGTTAACGCCATCTTTGAAAAAATAAAATAAAATAAAATCTTGCAGAAAGAAACAGATTCAGGAATGTTATCTGTAGGGTGGCGTTTGTAAAGTTACACTTTAAAACATTTATTTAGCCTGCTATAGAGAAAAGAAATCATTTTTCAGTCATATTTTCTCCATGTTATTCATTCATTTATAAATGCTAAAGTTGCAGACTAAATACTTAATTCACAAACTAAATATTTAGTTCCAAGCTAAATATTTAGCCCCAAATGAAATATGTATTTTTCTAACTAAGATTTTAGTTAAAGATAATTATTTTTCCACCTAAACATTTAATTTTCAAACAAAATATTTAGCTAACTAAATATTTAGTTTAAAAAATGATTTTTCCACCTAAACATTTAATTTTCGAACAAAATATTTAATTTGAGAGCTAAATGTATTGTTTAGAAGCTAAATATTTTTGCTTGTGAATTAAATATTTAGTTTGGGACTCTAATAGTGATTCATGTATGAATAACATGGTGAAAATATGACTTTGAAAAATGAACACCCACATTTTTTTTTTTTTTTTTTTGCCCTATTACATTCTGAATAAACTTTACAAACGACACCCTTTGGGTAAAACATATTTACATTAAAGTCTCCATTGTTGTCAGTGAGCATCGTTTGACCCACATGCTGCAGTAGGGAGAGCCAGAGGGCATGATTAAAGTCCATTAATTAGACGTTTGTTGCCTTCTTTTGTTCACACGTTGCTTGTCATTGAGTGTGGAAGCATCCTGCATGCTAATGATATGCGGTGTTTGGCGCATGGGGTTCTTCAGGGAATCCATGCTGCGTGCAGAGAGCAGCGGCAGCTGCACCGGCATGTGCTAACCTGCGCCAGCCAGCTCGCTATTCGTACACACACACGCACACACACACGCACCGGATTTCTAATATAATGCTCGACTTGGAGTGTGAACGGCTGCGTGTGCAGATGCCTCCTCGTGCTCTCGGAGGCCACTTGTGGTAATGATCCAGGGTGTCTGATGAGATGGGTGTGTCTCCGGGAGATTCAGACCTGTGTGCAATGTGACTCTTCATGCCGGAATAAATGAAACCCAAGGAGAGCGTGTCTGTATCTGTATCTGCTGCTGGTTAAATAACTAATGTGTGGAGCAAAACTGGAGGCCAGGTTTTCAGGGTTGACTGAAAGCAAAGGCCCCAGTTTTTCTTTTTTTTAAATTTCTGTATGTGTTTGTGTGTGTGTGTGTGTGTGTGTGTGCGTGTGTGTTGTGGCCACCCTAGCTGGACTCCGAGCAATGTAGAAAAAAAACCAATGAGATAAATAACACGGGAACTGCACGCCGGGTATAGTGCCCTGCCCCTTCCTGTCTCCACTGCCGCCATAACCACCGCCTGTGTGGCGAAAAAAAAAAGAGAGAACAAACACCACCTTCCTCTCTTTGTTGCTCCCGGTTGCCTGTGCCAATATGTCCATCAGTCTCTAGTGAGCAGGCACTGAACGGCCCAGTTCACACCTTCTTCCCTCTCAGCTTCCATTACTTGCACACACACCTGCACGCACGCACAAAGAGGACTTCCCTTTGACCTCTACAGCAGTTCAGCTAGCTATATTTAGTGCCTTGTTAAAGTATACATAAAAATTTACATTTTGCAAATCGTGTCAAGCAAACTGAGTCACTGCTTACAGGAATCCTAAACTAACAGGCGCCATACATTAATGCTTAAAGGGCCGGTATTGTGTTTTCCAGGCACATAGTGCCATTAGAGCACAATCAAGTTATGTTACCTTAAGTTGTTATAAAAATGTTATATATATAAAATATGACCTAAGAGAAATTTCACTTCGTAATGTATCTCCTTGAAATTGTGCCTCTGTCTCTTTAAGAAACTCCTTCTTTTTCTGAAACTCCGCCTTCAGGAAGTCATCACATCACTACCAGCATTTCACTGAGAAGTAGCTCCTATAATGAGCTCAGCAGACTCACAGTTCCTCCAGGTGTTTGCTAGCTGCTGCTGGCTAGTCTGCAGGAACCAAGTGGGGGAGAGCTGCTCTGTGAGGCAGGAGCGTGGAAGCTGCAGCTCAGAGGAGGAGTTTGATCCTCGAAGGTGGGGCTACATCCACCCAGGCGTTTTGCACAGCTGAATGGTTGCCACAGGAGATTAAAGGATTTCTCAAACATGCATGGAAAAATGAAAGCAACACTTCGGGTGTGTTTCTGTTGACAGAATAACGTCATAACACGATGTAAAGCTCAAGAAAGAGTCAATAATACCAATTTAAAATACTCCTTTAAAATGTAACATATTTGGGAGATCTGAAACCTTTATATTTATTTTTTGAAAATTAGAATATGTTTACATTTGAAATGATGGTTTCTTAAAGATCGGTAATCGGTGGTCGGCTAGAACCTGAATAAAGACCAGAGGACACAAGTTGTCGGTAAATCGATAAATAATGCTCAGCATCGTCAGGTTTTCTGGAGGCGAATTCCTCCAGAGTGTGAGCAAAGACGTCTGAGATCAGCCCGCTTCAGACAAAGCATCCTCTGGCTGCGTTTTACATATTCAGACAGAAAATGAAGAGTGGATGACAGGCATGACATGAAGAAAAAAAAAATCCCATCCAGCGTAGAGCAGCACACAAAAGCCTGGCTCATGTAGACAGGGGACGGCAGGCGGCTGCTGGGGGCTGAGCATGCAGCGCAGCAGACAGGCAGGCAGACAGGCAGACAGGCAGACAGGCGGTGTGCCCACCCAGACAGTCTCTGATGAAAAGCTGTGTTCTGCAGAAACAAAAAGATTCAGCAGAGATGATTCAACACCATGTGCTACTGCACTCTGATGGGGAGAGGACTAAAAAAAAACAAAAAAAACAATCTGCACACTCTGCACATTGCTGTCTTTGTGTCTGAAAGCTCACTTTTTTTTGTTTTGATTTTTAGCTGCACATGGTGAACATTTGCAAACAGATACACATCCTGTTTTAAGACATTATTATGATATTTCAACAACAAAAAAAATCAACAGGTTTGAGATGCATTCAGGGTGTTCTGCTGCGACAGTAGCACTGAAAGCGGACAATGCAGCCAACTTGATGCATGCGGCGCAACCCTGCTTCACCGTGTGTGTGTCTGTGTGTGTGTGTGTGTGTGTGTGCAGTGGGGCACGGAGAATGGAAGAAAAGAGTTTGAACAGTCGAGATAAAGGGCTCTAGGGGCCTGGAGGGGGAGGTGGAGGGGATACGGGGGGCACCAGACAACTGGGAAAAGCTCGGACAAGAGAGTAGGGTGACTTGCAAAGAGGTGACATCATCCTTGATTTGAATAATCCCCCCCAACCCCCTCCAGACTGGAGGGGATTGGTTGCTTTCAGTGGAGAAAAAAAAGAGAGTTTCTCGTCTATTTGCTATTCACTCTCTTTCAATTTTGCCATGCCGCTTCTGTCTGGTGAATGCTCCATTCACGGACTCGTAGTAAAGACACTTTTTTTTTCTTTTGACAGGGCAAAAAAGAAAATGGTCTGCTGTTTATATGTCCTATCCATTTGAGAGACAACTGTATATATGGTGGCTTGCAAAAAGTATTCACACCTGTTGAGCTTTTCACTTTCTCCAGTTTCAGTTCACATTAAGATTTGGAGGCACAAACAGGCACGGTTGTTAAGTGTTTTCTCTTCTTTTCTGCTTACAAATGAAAATCTGAGAAGTGTGGCATGCATTTATAGTCAACCCTGCTGAGTCAGTGCATTCCTGCAAGTCTTGTCTTATTGCAACCGCAATCTTCAACGCGTTTTATTGAGGTTTTATTATGCGATACCTCAACACAGTCACCCCACAGCATGACTCTGTCACCACTATGGCGATGTTGTCATCACTGTTGGGAAGATGTACATGTCACATATTTATTTTCTATTTAATATCCACTGAACCCAGTTAAATTATTGGTTTGTTTATGTTGCCAACAACAGCGTGTTGTCTTCCTTCTCCCAACCAGCTTTCCTGCCTGGCCACTAGATACGATAAACCCCCCCAAATCTTTTAATATAGATGTCTCTTTGAATAAATCAATCAAAAGATGGGATTGTGATAATATTTTCAGTGTGAAAATATTATGCTAATAAATTCCTAAAATGCTACTAAGTTGTTTTTTTCCCCCTACACACGTTTCCGCTGTGTACAACATTCATGAAGTTCCAGTAAAACGAGAATCCCACTTAGAATTTATTTATGTAGAACCTGCAGAGTCACAGAATTTGGTATTTGACAAAAAAGAAACTATCACCGGATACAACATGGCCAACATTTCCGAGCAGCACGCGAATGCACCAGCCTCTCCTCCGCCTGTTCCATCCCTCCGTTCACCGGCTCCAGTATCGTGAGTGAGTGTGCAGTGGAGTGAAGCGAACCGTCACTCTCCTCCTTTCTTCCTTCAAGGGTGCGCGCATCACTTGTGGGAAAACGGCGCTCGCGACTCACAAGTTCATTGTCCGTTGGCTCGGTTCGACTTGACTTCGCCGTCCCCCGGTACCCTCCTACTCTCACTCCAGCTTTATCTTACAATTTCATCCCCACTTTCTGACTCGAGAGGCGGCGGACTGGCGAACACTGACTGGGCGTAGCTGGAGAGGATTTTTGCTAGCTTGCAGTTACGCTATCCGGTAAGTCCCAGATTGTTTTAGCTTTAGCTAGCGTGCTAAAGTCGGTGACAGTAAGTACCGTAAATAAAAACAACGGTGGCTTAAAATTAACGCCCTGTCTGGTGACCGTTGAAGACGTCTGCGCCATTACCGTTTCTGTTACATTTGAGCTCCGTATAAAGTATTTAAATTACAGTTGCTGCTTTTTTTGAATGGATGTTTATGTTAGACGCGTAAAATAAAACGTGTATAAGCTTTATTTTGGATGTCATGCCGCCTTTGTGTGGCGAGGTGCTCCGTGTCTGTTACTCGAGTGGGGCGGTGGCAGCCAGGCTGCGTGGTCGCCAAACTGCCCAGCAGACCTGTTAGATACAAACCGTACAACCAATTTAATCGCTTTAACGTGTTTCTTGTCCTTGCGTAGAAAACATTTTCCCTCCTTTTGTGAGCATTTTGTCCGCCTTTTCACCCTAAACTTTTTTTTTTTTGCCCCCTCTTTTCCCTCTTCTTGTCTCCCCTCCTCCATCCTTCATCGCGAATTCCCATTGTTCTGTGATGGGCAAAAGTAGTGTGAGAAGCGAGAGATGTTTCAGCCGCCCCTGGGGGAGGGGGGGGGATTTCAAATTTTCTCCTTTTTCAGTGTGTGAAAATGAATAAACAGACAGCGTCTTAATTCAAATTTTTTCTTCATAGAACATTTTCCCATCAGCATGTTAAGGCAACGACCTCTTCAAAAGCCGAAGAGCGAAGAGTGGAGCTGAAATATCTCTAAATAGAATAGCGCACAGCTGTGAAATAATCAGAGGTGATTAATGTCAACCCCTCTAAAAGTGATCGGCCATTGTGGTTTAAGGCTTTAGGGGGGTTCCCCCTTCCTGACCTTTTTTTTTGTGGCAAGTGAGCAAGGATTTGTTGTATTCCAAAAGAACACAGCAAATGTCATCCCAGGGGACTTGAAAAGACAAACCAGTGCAATTCATACACAAATCATAGGGACGAAAAAGTCGGTTATAAATCAGACTGAAAACATTTAGTCTTGATTGGTGATCAGCAAACTAAATGCCTAAGATCCGGTTTCTTTATTTCTTTCTTTTATTCTAATCTTTGTGTGTGTAAATTTGTTAATCATTTTCTGTCTATAAGTGTTCCAACTGACAACTTAAAATCAGATAAAATTTAGTAAGAATTTTGTAATTCTTTAATTTTTTCTTGGATTTAAAACATTTTCATCAACGAGTTTGCACCACATTTTTCTTTTGTGCTTATAGACCTTGGAATGGATTCAAAAATGGCTTTCAGGACTCATCGAAAATGGAAACTCTGTGTCGGTCATAAAGGCTTGATTGGCGCATCTCTTCTTTTTTGAGTTATAGTTTTGATTGTATAAGATTCTCTACAATTTAATCTATATGGATGATATTTATTTGATTTATTTGATTACATATTTCTAAAAAATTTTTTTTTTTCTCTGTGATAAAATCTAGAGAATAAAACTTTCTACACCAGACAAAAAAGCCAAGTCAGAGCTCAAACCATGCCAGAAATTAGCCATTGGCCAAGAAAAGCCTGAGTGGTGCATCTCTGATTTGTATGGAAAAATTTGATGAGATTAGCTTAATTATTAAATATAAATAAATAAAATCCAATCATATAGACCGACTCAAATTACCTTGAGTAGCTACTTGCAGCCTAATTAAATCCTGATTCTACAATATAGATTAAGGATGCACCTTAATTTTGGGAGCCCCGTGATTAGCTGATATTTACAAGTGAAGCCGATCTTATCTACTGATCTTAAAGAGGTTTGACTGATAGGTTCGCAGTTAACAATAGTCACCCCACTGTTGCCAACTTTGTGACTTTTTTCATCATATATAGCAACATTTCAAACAAAAAAAAAAATCAGTACTAGCCAAAAACCCCTAATGGAAGTGCGCTAATCAGGGTTTAGTGCCAGGGTTTCCTTTGAGGTCTGAACTGATAATATAATTAAAAAAATGTTTTTCAGGTACTTTGATAGAAGTAAAAAAAAGTGAATCAATCTAAGCAAACCCAGGTGATTGAGTATGAAGAAAATTTGACTTTTTCTATGGTAGAACAACTGCAAGAAGAAAAGAGCCGATCCTCATGTCTTCGGCCCACAGCCGTGTTCTGTTCCCTTGCGGCAGTGCAGACAACAGCATAAATAGTCTGAAGCCCTGTGGGCGAAGCCAGATTGGGTTGGCCGGTAATATGTGGTGATCCACCATGATGTTGATGTCATCCTGAATAAATGGCATCCCAGGGCAACGAAGATGAGCTTTTTTTTTCTCTCTCTTTTTTTTTTTTTTTTTTAAGAGCTGCCCATGCTGGGGCTTGGAGGCTCTCCAGCACTCTTAAGTCAGGGGTGAGCCAGACTGCACCCCCCTTCCCTTCACCCTCCTCACACCACCAACCACATCCCCACGCCACAGGATGGATGAACGAATGGCTGACTCACTCTGCTTCTGGGATGAGGCTGAACCGAGCTTGATGCAATCATTTGAAATTAAGTTTAGCTGCCATTAAAAGGCGCACAGTTTTGAAATGAAGTTATTTGGAAAATTATTACTTAGAGCATGTGGATTAAAGCCAGAGGCGTTCAGTTTGTAGAGAGGATTTATTGGAAATCAAACTAAAACACATTAAGGTGACCAAGGAATCTGTGTGGGAAAGATATAAATATTGGGATATAATTTTTCTGCTTCATGGTGAGGTTTAAAAAGGGGTTTTAGAAGTTACCAGTGAAATTGATTCTACATGGGTCTTCATTGTAAGGTGTGTGTTTATACCTTTATATCTAAAAAAAAAAAGAGGGGGAGGGATGAAGCGGTTGCTCGGCTCTGGTTAGACACCGAATTTCATTGTGATTGTAATATTCAAAACAATAAAATGTCCAAATTGAATTGAAAAGAACTCCCGTCCTTAGACGTTATGTTCTAACAACCCTTCACTCATAGCTTTCTGGGTATATTTTAAGAGGAATATAGGACTAAGCACACATTGCTACTGGACTTTTAGTAAATGCACATCTCACATTTCCTGAGGCGTTTGCAGACTCTCACTTTTCTTCCTGTCCGTTTTGATATGACTTGTTGATTTGACCTGAAACATGTTTTCTTGAGGTTCCTGTCCAGGGACATTCAGTCTCCTCCTTTATAAACTAAGTGCTTTGCTTTCAACACTCTAATTTTTCCTGACTAGCGTTTTAGACGCATGCTGTTCTGTTCTGTCTCTGCTTTTCTTACTGAATATCAGTGGAAAAGGTTAAAAACTCTTAGCTCGTCAAAGAAAATCCAGAGTAATAAACTGATCATGCTTGGACATGTGCTTGAGCTTTATGATCTGACATTTAACGTTGTCGGTGCATAAGGAATTCAACATGATTGGAAGCAGTTGCTCTTTATGTCAAGTGATTAATGTCTGACTATTTGGATTAGACTCATCAGTCATCTGAGAATGCAAATTTTTACTCTCTTGTGTATTTAACTTGCTTTTCAGTGTTCTGTAAAGTGGTCCGCTTATAAAATGGATTTATGTGCGCTGATGTTTGAGCCGTTTTAAATGCTAATAGCTAATTTAGCCTCAAGCTGCCCTCTTGACCCCTAGCGTCGGCTCTGAGAGGAGAGATGATGGCTGCATTAATAGACACATGTGTCGTCGGTCCTCTAGCCTAAGGGCTGGTGTTGGTGGGAGTGTGACTCACAATAAAATCCCCCGCCCCCAGCTCTGAACTCCGCTGACAGGGGCGAGTTTATGCCTCTGGTCATCAAGCTTTTTTCAGTCTTAACCCAGGGCTCTTGCTCTCCTTGGCATCGTTACAAATTGCTGTAGCTCTCTTCTAATCCATTAAAACCATACAATAGTTTCTTGTTTTGAGATTATCTAAACACCAACAGAAACAGTCTGTTTTTTTTTTTGTTTTTTTGTTGCAGAATTTCCCCCCTGTTGTCCGGGCGATAGGCGCCTCAAGGAAACCCGCTCTGGACGCCACACTACATTTGCAAAGTGACGATAAAGCAGAGATAAGCCCCACTGTTGTCTGTGCTCCTGGTTCTGATAGTAGACACGGTCGGTGGTATCACAGTTGTCCACGCACGCAGTTGGCAACTGGTGGTGCAGTTTGGAGATTGGGTTTGGCAACAGCTGCAGTAATTTGCTGTGTTTGGACAATCTAAATTCCCCTGGTGGGAGCATAGATAATGAACACAGTTCACAGATCAGTTGCTAGGCTTCTGGACTGGATTTCTTTTTCTTTCTTTTTTTCCTTTTTCTTCATAATGCGTTTGTGGAGCTTAGTCTTTTGTTGCTGGGCAGTCTTGGAGATTGTGATTATTGAGTCCATTGAATCACTTTTGGCTCCCAGATAAAATAGAGCTCCTTACTTTGTTACTGCCAATGTCAACCCTTCACACTATTGTAATAGAGATGACACACTGGTGATTGTAATGTATTTTTAACTGTAAAATTGAGGATAATTATTTTACAACAGAGACCATGTTCCTTGATTTTGCTAGCAGCAAATCAAAGTTTCTCTTCGTGTTTTCTGAATAATGTAGTTTCTTATCTTCCTTATCTATCCTCCAAGTATAGACACCAGTAGTGGAAAATTTCCACCCAAAATAGAACCCAGAGTCTGAATTACTTGGGACCTGAAATGTGTATATAAACACATCATTAATGTTATAGAGTAGTAACAACGTAATGTTGTGATATTGATTTTGATTCAATAGATTTTGCAGCTGTCGTCCCTCTGTGTGTAGAAATTGCCGTCCTGAGACAGAATATTACTTTTTTGTATCCACAAAACAGTTTGGTACTGAAGACCAAAACTTCAAGTTCTTCAAATGGAAAAGGAACCTGCCAAAGTCTAGCTTTCTGTCATAACAGTCTGAATGAACAGCAAACACGCCTCTCTACAAAGTACATTTTCCTTTTACGTAGGTAGGACTGTTCAATATGACTGAAAAATGTAAGACGATATTAGCATTTCATATGTCAAT